GGAAGGAGGGAAGGAGGGAAGGAGGGAAGGAGGGAAGGAGGGAAGGAGGGAAGGAGGGAAGGAGGGAAGGAGGGAAGGAGGGAAGGAGGGAAGGAGGGAAGGAGGGAAGGAGGGAAGGAGGGAAGGAGGGAAGGAGGGAAGGAGGGAAGGAGGGAAGGAGGGAAGGAGGGAAGGAGGGAAGGAGGGAAGGAGGGAAGGAGGGAAGGAGGGAAGGAGGGAAGGAGGGAAGGAGGGAAGGAGGGAAGGAGGGAAGGAAGGAAGGAAGGAAGGAAGGAAGGAAGGAAGGAAGGAAGGAAGGAAGGAAGGAAGTTGTTTTCTGTCATCTCCAACCTTCCCCCTGAGCCTATGTAGATATATGGGATGGAAAACCTCTGGCCCATTTTGCTGTCCCTCTAACTCAGCCTCCCACGGGGGGCCACAGATCTCCCCGCAGTGTCTGAGCCGGCAGAGCGAAGGCACAACCTTGAGGGCCCAGCAATTACAAAAACTTCCCAGTGCCTTATCAGCCTAGCAGAACACGCAGTTGCTAGTTGAAGAAAGCTCACTGAAAAGAAATCAGCAAAAGAAAAACTGGCTTAGTCCTGGCTCAAACCAGGACAGGAAGGATGTATGTGATGCATGCATGAGAAATAAGGGAAGAGGCAGATGAACAGGGGAAAGAACATAGAAGGATATATGCTTGGGCTGCAAAAAAACAGTGGCAATCTGAGGAATGGAAAAGGGACCATTTGCACACTTTTATTTATTTAAAATCTAGAGGATTCATATATTTTCCTATTTAAAGGTCGAACTTCTTTCTTTCAGCAAAATGAGAACTTACCTTTTAGGGAATCACTGAAGAAAGGAAGTTAGGTGATTTTGGAGTGAGAGGAGGAGACACAAAAAATCAAATGCTCCTCTAAAGAAAAACATTTAATCCAAGGTGGATCTGAAATATTAGATTATACATCTGCATCTCTGAACTGGTTGATATCTTTCAATCTATATAAACCTGTACTTCTGGAGTGCTCAATGCTTGGATTGGGAATCCATTATAACAATGTAGCATTTGACAACTGTTTACTACTGTGGAATTAACATTAGTTGCAATTTCAGTTCACCATACATGTGTTTTAAATTTTTACTGACAGTCACTATTGAAAAAGAGAAAATAATATTTTCCTGAAAGTATCAGGTACTGTTAGATGACTGTTAGAGGCAGTGTCAGTTCAGCTGAATCAACAGCTTTTCCTGATACATGATTTAAGTGCTTAATACCTCAGTGCTCCTAGTGAATAATATGATTTGAATCAGGGTGCCTGGCTTTTTAGCCTTGCATTACTGGCAGTAAAAATTAAGCCAAAGGCCTCTGGGGGTTGTATTGTGTATGTATTTACAGATTTTATATTTTTTTTTCTTCCTCCCAGGTCTTGGCTCTTGTTACTCTATTATAGAAGGCCCATCGAATGCAACCGTCCTTGCTGGCTCAGAAGCCCGCTTCAATTGCACGGTGTCGGTCGGGTGGGTGATTCTCATTTGGCTGTCCAATGCGAATCCTGTCCTCACTGTCATCAGCTCTCAAGGAGCTGTTGAGACGTCAGACCGCTTCACCTCTCAGAACTACACCAGTGGCGACGCGTTTACCTCGGAGCTGATCATCCACAACACCCAGCTGAGTGACTCTGGGAAAATCGAATGCAGCGCCCAGCAATCTACTGAGAGCAGGTTTGCATTTCTTTCTGTTCAAGGTGCGTACAGACATCAACAGAAAGCTGTTTTATTACACTATATATTTAAAGGAATCATCCAATGGATTAGTCAAATTAGCTTTGTGAAGGAGCATATGCTCTCATTTACCATCCTTTGCTTCCTGTCCTCCTTGTCTTAATGTTAGTGTCAAAGCAGGTTTCTGAGTCACATTCAGAGTGGCATTAACAAGGGTTTGAACTGCTCCTGTTTTTTCCTGTTACATCTCTTACTCTTTATTGGATTGTGTTAAAGTGTCTGAAGGCTGTATCAGGCTCACCAGCAGTCAGTCAAAACAGATCTTTTGGCTAGAAACAGCATGGATTATCCCATATGCACATCTTTGTACATTAAATTGCTGATGCCTTTAGGGCAGATCTCTCCCCTGATTTCTGACTCAGGAATCAGTCTGTATCCATTTGAGTTTTATTTAAGGGTGTGTAGGAGTAAAGCCCTCTAGACACAAGGCGGTACTATTCATATGATTGCTGCTGCAAGCTACCATATCCAAGGAACAGAAAGTTTCTGTGTATGCACTCTCTGTGTATGAGGCCTGTTCCTCCTCTCTGAATCATCAGTATGGACAGTTCAGCCAGTAAAGTGAAATCTAACCAGTAGACACTTCCGTGCAATGAAAATGTCTCATCACCTACCTGTAAAATTTTCCTAATAAAACCCAAACATACTTAAAATGTAGAGAGAAACACTTATTTCATTATGTTGTCCTTCAACTGGAAATATATCAAGCCGACTAAAAAGTAGAATTTCCTGCTTTTTATTAGAAATGTACTAAAAGCTGAGACTTGTGCTTTTAAACACACTGGACAGTGTGTCTGTGAGGTTACAATATTTGTAGTGTATATAATACATATGATATAACTGTGTTAGTAATTATTGGTTTTAAATTAATATCTCAAGGCATAGCTAATTCTGAGTATCAAGATAAGATTTAAAACTGTCAGTAGGAAAGCAATACAGCCTGTTCTGAAGGAACAAAACATCTTTTGCCTCCCACAGTTAATGGATCTTTATTAATCAAAAATAGCACCTTAACAGTAAAAGAGAACAAAACAGTTGACATTGTTTGTGAAGCCTCAGGATGGTCTCCAGCTCCAGACATTACCTGGATGACAAATGACTCTTTCATTGATAAGTCAAGGTATGTTACCCAGCAAAGTCAAGGATCTGATGACCTCTACAATGCCCTGAGCATCCTAACTTTGACTCCAACGGATACTGAGATTTTGACTTGTTTAGCTGACATAGAAGCACTCCCTAGCCCTCAGAATGCAAGTGTAACTGTTATTTTTGTCAACTCCACTATGGGTAAGTGAATGTTTGTTTTACTCTGCCTATACTGTTTTCTTAGAGCTGTGCTTTTTGTTTTGTTTTGCTTTATTTTGAAGTCTTTTATTTGCAAATTAAGTAGTATGAGATGTGCAAAGACGCAGCAGTCACAACCTGATACATGAGTAGGGTTAAATTCACATTTGTGAGAGGACTGATACAAGTCTAGTGAACCACAAAGTCCAGTTTAGGACTGAACAAGACAAACGAAGCAATACACCTGCCACTGACACCTGCTATGGACTCACTGCTAAGAAACTGGCTTTTTTTCCTTGACCAAGTACACATATAATTAATTTAGATGTTAAATATCTTCGATTATGTCATGCCTGCCATGTGAACATAACTTATTAGACCTCATTTACTCAAAGCCAAACCCTCAGATGAAGTTGTTCTCCATAATATTCAACACCAGTTTTACCACTGAGTTGGAAACCCCCTCTGGATTTTACTCCTAGTTTCCACACATGACTCAGGATAGATTCTGTACTAGCACTTCAAATGAAAAATAGAAAGTTCTCCACATGAGCTGTGATCAGGTGTGATGCAGCTGTTGTAGCATGGTGTTAATATCCCCAGGGCTTCACTGAAGCTGTCACCTAATTGCAGATGGTAGCATTTATATGTAGGAACTTCTGTACCAATAATACCTATCATCAATCTACTATAAGAATGCCTTTCCACATAGTGTATTCACCCATTACAGACCAAGGATCAGGTCATCAAGAGAAGCTGTGTGTCATGGGCTTTATCCCAAAGTCTACTGAGACCAAAGAGTTATTTGACTTGCTTTTCTCTTCCTGGTATGGTCTCTTTCACATCTTAATGGAAGGTAAAATTTGTCCTGCAGCAACATGTGTGGAAGTCTTTGAACAATGAATTTGGTTGCTTTTTATTGCCTTTTATTTAAGGAAATTCAAGATCACTATAATCCAAGCTTGTATGTTGAGTAAATCTCTCAAGAAGAGTCAGATCTTTGATAATCCTAAATATTTCCACAAAAGTTGTCAACATTTCTCGTAATGCTGCTAATCTTTGGCCTCTATGACAACATATGAAAATAAATTCCATAATTCAGCACACTCACTGTATTAGGAGGTTTATCTGAAAAAAGGTGATTTTATCTGATCTATGCTGCCAGTGTGGAACAAAGCAAGTGGGATCCACTACAATTCTACCTCATAATCTAACATAATCCTATGTATCATGTTTTTCTTTTCCAAACCATAACACAAAAAGAGCAAGTAAGAGGAAGTATCTCCCTGTGAGTTAGCAGTGTTTAATGCAGTTGAAGGAGACCATACCAGACAATTTATCTGTTGGGATTAGTCAAGTATCTCAACTATTAGGCAGAGAAATCTCAAGAGAAGTTAAACTTGAAGCACTAATTGTATGAAAAGGAGTTGAAGTTGCTGGACATAAGTACACTGTCAGCTGTGGTGACGTAGTCCACCCTACAATTATGTCCTTTTATTTGCCTTATCCTGTGGTATGGCAAATGCATAGGCTACATGGGATTTGTTGGTTTTAGTTTAGCTTTTTGTTTGTTTGTTGTTGGTGTGTTTTGTTTCTTTTTTTGCAGTGGGTCTGTGCATCTCCAGCTGTCATCTGCACAGAGTAGGGCCTCAAAACTGATTCCTTTCATGATGTGGTGAACATAATGAACTTATATAATCATGCTGACAGCTTCTCTTGATGAAATGATTTTCCTTTTTTGATGGGTGAATATGGCACACACAAAGACACCATATAGTGGATTGATGAGGGGCTTAGTATAGAAGATTCGACATATAAACAATTGAGGAGGCTGAGTAACTGTGCCTTATGAGTCATTATTGGTGAGCCTTTTTCAGAAGTACTTGCTTTGTAATGCAGTTGAAAAAGGTCATTTCACTATCCTTAATATGACTTTTTTTTTTTTTACAGTCATATTGCTTCTAATTACTGACTAAGCAAAATAGAACTATCCTGAGGAAATTAATCGATTCCCCTGCCTACTCATTTGTGAAGTACTGAGGTATCCACCCTCAGTTGCCATAGCTACTCATTGTAAATCAGAAGGGGAGAAAAACAGATGTCATGAAGCACAATTAGTGTATTTAGTGACTGTATAGGACTGTCATTCATTTCTCTTTGGAAAAATCATTGTGCAGCAGCAGACACTCAAAATTTGTCATGATGTGAGAATATGAAGTCCTTAAATCATTATAATGAAATAAAGACATGGCATTTATGACAGAGGAAGATGTATAATGTATATATCACTCTTGAAATCTCAGAGCTTGTCTGAATTTTCATATACAGGCCCAGCCTTAGCTAGCTGTTTTCAGGAAAGAATATAACTTCAAACATCTACGGAGTCCTTCCCAAATACAAATTTCAGCCTTCATTTAAAAAAGCTTGAGGATTTAAATTCCTATATGTCCCTCCCTACCTGTCTATTCATAAGGACTGCAACCAAAAATCTGAGCTCTCTTCAGCCAACCCTCTTCTGATCAACAAATGTCTTGCCTTCTTACATCTCTAGGTCAGTCTTAATCTCAGACCTTTCCATATAAGGTGATGGATTTCTATGTCAGTCACTCCTCCACCAGAGTTGTCTCTCTCACAGTGTGTTTGGCTAAGTCCTAGATTTGGAAACTCCTATGGAGTTATTTCAGAAGATGCATTCACAGAGCTGTTATTGGAAGATGGGGTCCATGGCAGAGTCCCTTAGCAGGGCCCAAGTTCTCTTTGGAATCAGTGTTGATTTCATGTGGCCTTTGACCTGCAGAAGATGAAGATAGGGAATCTACCCTGAGCCTGCTCTTCCTTTTCTTTATAAGTTAGCCAGAAAGCTCTGAAGTGTCCAAGAAGCAATGTGCATCTTTTCCCAGTCTCTCATTTCTCCTTGGTCACCTGCATGTGCCAAGGAAAAATCCCCTTTTCTTCAGATACTTTGCCCAAGTAAATTTTTGGGCAGATCTGGGAGGACCCAGAGGTCAGAATAGCAGCAGATGGGCCCTCTAGAATGAGGAAGTGGTCTTGTCCACCCTAAGCACCTCATGTAACTTGGTGTGGATTTACTAATGCAGCCAAAATGGATTTAATGCCCTCATGCCTTAGTGCTCCTCTCTTGCACTCCTACTTGTGTGCTGAGCTGTCAGCTCCTGCATTCATACTTCTAGTGTCAGCTCCAGTTTCTTTTTGGATCATCCAAAACTGGAGAGAAACTAAAATGTTGTAGTATCAGGCATGTTTGTGCTGTATCCTATCCTACCTGCTTCAGCTCCATAGAACCTCTTTTGGCATGTAACCTGACAGGGAGTGAAATACCTTGGTGTGGCAGCCAGACTGGAGGTGGGGGCCAGTGCAGATGTGTTTAGCTCCTCCCTTCACACTAAGGCTTTCCCCTATGGCTAAATAGTTACCTTTCATATTTTATGCATGTTGAAACTCCTGTGGCATGTTTTGTGAATCCAACTGTATGAGAAATACAGGGTATTTTTAAAATTCTGTGCACGTGGAAGCTCTGTTGGAAACTTGGTCATAGCAACCAATTTCATCAAGATACTGAATTATATGGAAATTACTTCATTTAACTCTGTAGACTACAGCAAAGACAAAAGAATAAGTTAATGTGAGAATGTCAGTAGTGAAGATGTGTCAGTAGCTGCATATTCCCGTACACTGTGACTTTTTACAGGTTTTGCTATTTGCTGCTCTTAAAGTGGGTAACAGATGCCCTATCAAGTATGTCCCAAAGTCAAACACCTGAAATCAGTGAGAGAAATCCCAAGATCAAATTTATCAGAAAATCTTATCTACTGGCTAGAGATCTCCATCTGTACCAGTCATCTGTGACTACTGCTGTGATTTGTAGAGAGAACCAGACACTTCTTCAGAGCTGTTCATCCAAAGAGACAAATACACATTTGGCCAAATGAATTGTAGCCCAAAATACCTCTTTTCACTGAAAAGAGCAGCTGGGCAAGACACTTAATATCTGCAGTATAGACATGTAAACTGAATCTCAAAATTCTTCCCAAACTCAAATGTCTCCAAAGGATGTTGGGAGGCCCAGCACATGTACAAAATATAGTTTAGGTTAGAAGATTGCAGGCCTGTGTTTTTCTGAAGAGAACTAGCTGTTGAAAAAGTGACAATTGCAATGAAGAATTTGCATGTAGAAATGTTTTAAAATCTTGGGCACTATCCCTAAATACAGAATCTGTCATTTGGAAAACACAGACTCCTTGTTAAATAATCAACAAACAGTTAATATCTTCTCACAGAAGAGACACGTATTTTGAAAAGGATGTTTTGAGGCTCTGATAGTACAATATTTTTCCATTTAATTTAACAGAATATGAGTACAGTGAAGACAGCGGAAGCACGAGGGTTATTGTACTTGCAGTTGTGTTTTCAGTACTTGGTATTGTTCTTCTGATCGTTATTATTGTGGTTGTTGTTCGCTGCTGCTGCCTGAAGAAGAAAGGTAAGTAGAGCTTCACGGTTGGCCTATACATTAAAATGATCTTCCATTAGATGTAATTCTCCTACTTGTGTCAGCTCCGGTGCCGTGCAAGGACCTGTGAGCAGAAGGGCGAGCAGAGAGATCCTGCTCTTAGCCACGACGTGGTTAGGATGCTCCTTACTTTCACCTTGCTGTGTGTCTCTTATAAATTGGTTCCAAAGGAATCCGTGTCAACTGCTCACCTTACCTACAAGGGGGTCATGTGTTTCAGGAGTAGGTTAATTTCCAGTGGCATTCTGTTCCTGTGCTGAGGCTCCTTGCTGAGGCACACCCTCAGGGCTCTCAGCCTCATTCCCAGCTTCTCTGCAAGCTGCTCTACAGGGATGTTGATTATATAAACAGGGAGGAGAGATACATGCCCCCGTGGTAGAGGAGCTCTATAGCACCACATTTGATTTTCTTGCATTTTTTCCTTATTCTTCTTTTCTTTCCTAGAATCAACGTATCAAGATGAAATCAGGTAAGCTGGAGGAGGTGGGAGGAGTTTTCCTTTTATCTGAACCCTTCCAGGCTGCTGCAGGACGGCGAGAGGGACGTGTCTCTTTCCATGCCCAGGATGCGCGGGTGCTTCCCTGCTGTGTGACCCGGCCCAGCACGGGCAGGGGGGACAGGATGCAGGGGAGGGACCTGACTTTAAGAGGGAGGGGGGGGGAAAAGCAAGGGCAGCAGCAGGTGGTGACCTCCACTCCCACCATAACA